TTTGGGTTGTTTCCACCATTTCTCCCTTATAAATAAAGTTGTATTATTATTTGTGAATCAAATTGAAGGCTTGTTTTTAAGCTATGTTAGAGTAAATTTAAAGTAGCCTTTATTCTGATGGGAAATGTTAATTTCTTTTCTATTCTAGCATTTAAATTTTTTAAAATTAATTTTATTAATCTTATTGAGCTGTAATACCTCTATTTTATACAACCTTAGAATGCGACTTTATTGAGGTGTACAACTTTATACTTTTGTACTACAACTTCATAATAAAATTTTATTGACGTATAATTTACAAACCATAAAATTCACATTTTAAGAATACAACTCAATGATTTTTAGAAAATTTATGGAGTTGTACAATCATCACTACAATCTGATTTTTTAACATTTCTACCAAATGATAGTTCATACCCATTTAGAGACATTTCTTATTATCCTACCAGCCCTCAGGCAAACACTAATGTGCTTTCTGTTTCTATAAATTTGCTTTTTCTAGACATTACATATAAATGGAATCAAGCAATATGTTGTCTTTTGCATTGGCTTTCTTTCTTTCAGCATACTGGTTTTGAAGTACATTTACATTGTAACATCAATCATACTTCATTCCTTTTTAATGCTGAATAGTATTCCATTGTATGGTGTGGTATAATAAAGAATATATCTAGTCTGTGTGCCCAGTTCCTGGCACAGAGCTTAAAAAGCTCCTGGAATTTTCTGAATGAAAGGAGTGTCTTTATTATGCTAATGAGGTGACTCATGTGGTCATCTTATAGCTTCAGGATGGAGGCTGCTCACCAGAAGGACCGAGCACATGATTGGGACTTTGAGCTGCCAGACCTCTAGGGATAAAGGGGGCTGAGATTGAGTTTAATCACATAGCCAATGATTTAATTAATCATGCCTATATAATTAAGCCCCATAAAAACTCTGGACATTGACAGTCAGTGGATCTAGCTTCCTGGTTCATGAACATATTGATGTGCTGGTGCCAAGAGGGTTATAACACCCTGATTCCACAGGGAGGGAGCATAGAAGCTCTACAGTCCCTTTCAGACTTTACCCTGTTATGTACCCTTTATAATAAAACTGTTATCAAAAGTATAGCACTTTTCGGATTTCTGAGAATCATCCTATGAATTATTGAGCCTTAGGAAGTTGTGAGAACCCCTAAATTTGTAGCAAGTCAGAAATGCAGGTGACCTGGGGATTCCTGAAGTGTGGCTTATGTCTGAAGTGAGAGCAGTCTGTGGAACTGAGCTCTTCACTTGTGGGATCTGATGCTAATTCTGGATGTTTAGTGTTAGAATTGTATTGCAGTACACCCAGTTAGGGTGGAAACAGAGTGCATGGATATACTCAGTTTTGTTTGTCTACTTACCAGTTGATGGACATTTGAATTGTTTCCACTCTTAGGCTTTTATGAATGAAGAATAATGCTGCTATGAACATTTGCATACAATCTTTAGTGGATATATTTCACTTCTTTTGGGTAGATACCTAGCAGTAGAATCCTTGATTGTGTGGTAAATTTATTTTCAACTTTTAAAGAAATTGCCAAACTGTTTTCCAAAATGCATTGTCATCAGCACTTAATGTGTTCTGTCTTTTTTATTATAGCCATTCTGGTGGGTGAGAAGTGCTATCTTATTGTGGTATATTTCGTTGTTTTTTGCACTGGCTGGTAAGGAGCCAAATGAACCCTTGACTTTGGTGTTACCATCACCATGGTCAAGTAAATTAACCGGCCAGCCCCCTTCATTGTAGTTTTAATTTGCATTTCCTTAATGACTGGTGGAGCTTCTTTTCATGTGCTGTTGGCTATTTGTGTATCTTATTTGGTGAAATATCTATTCATATTATTTGCCTTTTTCAAAATTGGATTGTCTTCTTATTGAATTGTAGTTCTTTGTACAATGGGTCTTTAAAAAGTTCATGGAAAGACTGATGTTGTCTAGTTCCATTATTTCGTGAATTTTTTGAAGTACTCTCATATATTCTGGATATACTCATGTATATCACTTGTAAATATTTCCTCCCCATCTGTGGCTTATCTTTATTTATTTATGTTTGTGTTTGTGACTGGGCGGTATGGGGATCTGAACCCCTGACCTTGGTGTTTACAAGTCTGTGCTCTAACCAGCTGAGCTAACTGGCCAGCCTTTTAATTTTATTAATTTTTTAAATTATCTTTTGATGTCAGAGCATTTGTATTTGATGAGATCCTATGTATGAGTTTTTCTTTTTGTCAGTTGTGTTTTTGGTGTTGTATCTAAGAAATCTTTGGCTAATCTAAAGTCATGACGATTTTCTCCTTTGTTTTTTTCTGACATTTTTATAGTTTTAACTGTTAAGTTTAGTCCTGTGATCTATCCTGAATTACTTTTTCAGTTAAGGTGTGAAAAAAGGGTCTAAAAATGTTTATCTTTTTGCCTATAGATATCGAGTTGATCAAACACTATTTCTTCAGAAGACTGTCATTTTCCCCACTAAATTGTCCTGGCACCTTTGTAAACAAATTTTATTATCCATAAATACATGGGTTTATTTCTTTTCAGTTCAGTTCCATAGATCCGTATGTCTGTCCTTTCCTTATGTTAAGTACTAATACTGTGTTAATTACTGTGGTTTTGTAGTGAGTTTTGAAATTGGGAAGTATGTATAAAGTCCTCCTACTTTGCTCTAGTTCAAGATTGTTTTGGCTCTTCTGGATTCTTTGCATTTCCAAATAAATTCTGGGATTAGCTTGTTGATTTTAGAAAAAACCCACTGGGATTTAGATATGGCTCAATTTGGGGGGAATTGCCATTTTGATAATATTGAGTCTTCTAGTCAGTGAACATGGGATGTCTCTACATTCATTTACAGCTTGCCTTTAATCATTTAGTGTTAAACACATTATACACTGACAGAGAGACAGACATAGACACACACAATTTTTTTTTCTCAAATTGTAAAGTAGCCTAATAAAGGTTTTCCATTTCTTCCTTCCCTGCATCCCACTGCCTTCCATTTAAAAATTATTGTGATTTTTGGCTTGATTCTCAAGTAATTTTGTGTCAATAACTATATTTAATAAATTTTTCTAGTTTCTTTATTTTTCCCTCATTCTTATGTCTCACATAATCTTACTTGTTTTAATCTTTTGTTTCTTTCAAAATAAAAATCCTTGAACAATTCTTTCAAAAATGAGTTGTTAATTATAAAATTTCACTTTGCCATCTCATTTGTTTTCAAGTCTGCCGTATTCTAGGATTAAAATTATTTTCTCTGAAAACTTTGAAGATACAGCTATGTTGTCTTTTGTATTTGGTATGTTGTCTGAGAGGTTTGTTGTCAATATGATTTATTTTATGTTTTTACATATAAGGTATCTTTTTAGAAACTTTTAGCATTTTTCTCTTGGATTTCTGAAAATTAAGCATTGGTTATCAGAAGGCTCCCTGTGTTTCATTTGTAGGTCCTTTTGATTTTAGATATTTAATTTTATTCATTTCTGGAAATTTGTATTTATCATTTCTTTTTCTTCTAGTTTGTGTTCTCTCTTTCTATAGTACTGCTTTTAGATACGTTGGAGCTTTCCTAACCCTGCTCTGTATATTTCATCTCTTAATCCTTCAGTGTGTTCAGAGAAAGCCTCTTTGCTCAATTTTCTAGCTCTATAGTTTGTTCTTCTATCATCAGTCACATATTAAATTCTTAGGCTTCAGTGTTCTTTACATATTTCAACTTACCATTGAATTGAGGTGACATCTGTTACCCTTTTAAGGGTATCATATTCACGTATTCAAAGCTGTCCTCATTTGTCCTATTAAGCATTTCCTTGAGTATTGATTTTGTTTCTTGAATTGCTTTGCC